TGTTTAAATTTTTATTAGGACCAAAATAAATTATAATTTTCATTTCAACTACAGAAACCCTCATAATATTAAAAAGGGGGAAACGTTAGATTAGTTATGTTCAGGAATAAACTGTTTAAACATTTATCTACTTAAAATGTGTTACTTTTAAAAGGTATGTTATTAACTTTCTATTTGTACTTGTATTAATTTATTTCATTTTATTATCTGTTGTATTTTCAAATTGATTTTGATATTAATCTTATCTATTTATATGTTTTTTATATTCACATATATGTTTTTTTCATTGAAACAAACGTTTATTAGCTTATTAAATATAATGAATTCATGTTGTTTTATTATATGCTTGCATAAATGATTACTTTTATTTCCTTTTAAAAATGAATTTCGAAGATAAAGCCGAAACGGTGAGTGAGAATAAAAAATTAGACGAAAGTGACGATATTTACTGGAGCTTTCATCTACACGCTCCTTTTTTCTAGCCATCTACACCTGAGTCTGCAAGATTCGTCTTCCCTCCATCCTTACATTCTCCAAATTTACAGAGAAAACGCCGTCCTCTTTAACATATCCAGACCTTCTTTGATGGAGACTATACCACTAGATTATCAGCTTTATTTGTTATCCCGAGCAATTTAAATGCATTCGTAATTGCTCATTCTCACCTCTTCTCTTATAGATTCCGTACTCAGTTTTCTTATTTTTAGTTACGTTTGCACTGCTCTTTTATCGTCACAGCTTTAATTCTATAATTCTGTAACGCTACAATATGGATTCATTTTTGTGGTTTATACTATTTAATGTTATTCGTAAGTGACCAACCTATTATAATAATTAAAGATTATTGTATTACAGGTCTGAAGATTTTCCTGTAAGGCCGAAACTAGTCGCTCCTGTATTTATTTATAATAAAATTGATTTTAAGGTTTTATTCTTTAATTGACAAAATTAGACCTTTACAGTGATTTTGTTTCATTTCCTGCATTAGACACATATAAGACGGTATTAATTTTAAAATTAGCAAATTTTTTAGTTTTTTTTTTACAATTAAAACGTTCGAAAATGTTTTTATAGATAAATGATAGGCCACTGAACAAGAAGGATGTTTACCTTCCCCCTTGTGCCCACTTCCTCACTTCCTTTACAGATGTTGGTAACACAACAATCGCCTACAAACTCGTTTTCACGCTCCCTCTATTAGTAATTGCTCGGAGGTATAGATATTAATATAGTTCTTGTTTTATTCTCACTCGATATTTAATCTCTTTCGATAAATAAACTATATTTAGTTACAAATTCTAACTGTTAGTTAGTTAATTTCAAAACATCAATCATTCACAGTAACTAGTTACAAAAGTAAGACAATGTAGACAGCAAAATAATCCGTACAAATCTCAAATGTTTGAAATAGATGAACAAATAACAGATAGTTCTCACAGTTTGAACCGTCAATACGGCTAAAGCTAAATTGTGTACTCGGCGTACGTCTGAACGTGTAATCTAACCAGATTTACTTGGATTACGTTGATTAAAATGGCAACGATTATGCCCGTATTGTTTGTACGTTTCTCATACCGGCTTGCTTAGATTGCTCATTGCTGTAAATTTACACATGTAATAAGATTTCGGTAAGATAATTTAAAAACATATCTCATGATTTAAAGATGATATCAGAATAAAGAAATCCCTATGTTACAGAAAATAGAATGTTAAATTTTCTTGACTTATAATTTAATAAAATAATTCCCGGATTTGTAAACAATGCAATGTTCCTTCCTATAAAAATAATATCGTGAATTTTACCTTATTTATTAACACTTATCAGCTCATTGACCCTTCAAGGGATTAAGTCTAAGACGAGAAAATCTTAAAGAGGCCAAATTTGGGGTGACTTTGCAGTGCTTGCTCTAACACTTTTAATTATAATTATAATTTTAATTAATTAATTAAGTGCCTACGGTTTGTACCGAAGTTCTTTCCCCTGAGCTACTCTGCCTTTTACTTTAGACGTGTTTTTTCGTTGACAATTCTATAGTAAGGAAGAATGTTAATTTTAGTTTTAAATTAATATAGTTTTTGTTCAAATACTAAATATAATCGATAATAGCCCTCTATTGGAATAAACTGTGATACTGGAATTTACATTTGTGATTTTATTTTTTGAAATATTCTCAAAAATTGGTCATAATTCATTTTATTTAGAGCTCCTTTAGAAATTAGGAAATTTGTTTACTTTTTTAAATAAATGTCAATAAACTCCCTATAAAACCTTTCTTTAATTTTAATTTTAACAAGATAAAGATTAATACAATAAAATATAATTAATATATAAAATGATTCTTTATAATTCATTAAAAATATAGTTTTATTAAAATTTATAAGCTAATCTAGGGCTTATAACTTCTACTACTGCCAGCATCTATTAAAAAGTTATTTCTGGTATAAAATTATGGGCGGAGGTAATTTGCCCACAAAATATTTAAAGCTGCTAATCCTATAGGTAATTTTCCCACAGCAAGTAAAAGGTCATCTTAATCCTGTTGGTGTTTTGCCCAAATTTATTTCTAACTGAATAAATCATAATAGATATATCTTTCATTTATTATTTTTTATATATTATCGAAAAGTAAAAACACATTATTAATTAAACTAAAAATTATATTAAACACTAATTTTTATTATTATAAAAAAGTAAGTATACATAAGTTATATTATATTTTTTATATATTTATATTTTATTTACATATTTTTCAACTGGGAGGGATAAATGTGATACAAATTTTATATACTCTAATCTGCTGATTTGCTGCAGATCAAATCGCTGTATAAATTTTTCTAAACACTGAAATTTTTGTTTTACACTTTTGTCTTTGATTTTCTTAGGTATACTTAAGCTTTGTATTGTGACATACGTGTCGATTTGAAAGTATTTAAGCTTTTCTATAAAAATATATACAGAAGGATGTGTACAGTAGAATGAAGAATTAAACCTTGAATGAAACGACTCACAGGCATTTGTAGTTCTTGTAATTGAAGCTGTTTTTTCTGCCCATATACTTGGAGGAAATGTAGAATTTTTTTCAATATATGTTTCTAATAGGTAATCGGCATACCTATCGAGAACGGCATTTTCTGGTTTACTTGCCATTAAGTCAAACACAAAACAGTCTCCAACTTCATCGGCGTTTAAATATGTCAACCCAAATGATGTTTTAAGCCATTTTCCGGTATCACTGTTAGTTGTATATTCAGTCATTAATCCCAGAGACTGAATTTTACGATACCACGCTTGATGTAGATGAAATCGGCAGCCATTGATTACAGTATTAGGCCACATATAAATTAACGCCTTATGAATTGCTATTTCAAAATCAACGAACACTTTAGATGGATTTAAAGCAATACTGTAAGTTTCCAAAATTTTATAATGCAATAACGAAAACAAATGTTTGTATATATCGGTAGATTTGTTTGGTAATAAACAATATACCAGGGGCACATAGTGTCCATTACACAGCCCATGAATGGTAAATAATTGTAGGAAAAACTTTGTACAATACGAAAATGTTCCATCCATATACAAGACGTTCATTTTACACAAAGTACGAATATTTGTCTCACATGTAAATACAATAATATTATTTTCTCTGCTATTTATTAAAAGAAAATGTTCACCTTTACTGGTTTTAAATGTATTAGAATATAAGTCAACTGCATCATGCACTTCTTGTATATTTGTAGGTAATGGACCTGGTAGTATTTTGCGACGACTGTTGTACATAGTTTTTCTTATGTAGGACACATCAATTGTAGTTAGTGACTCTGGTAAATTAGTAGCAAGTACTTTACGGATAATTTTAGAAGGTTTTTCCGAAATATCATGAACTGCTTTTCGCTTACACGAATTAGAAATAATTTTCCTGTTTAATTTCGGTTCATTTGCTTCATGGCTATGAATTAGGTTGCCTCTGGATACTAAAAGTTCAGGACCAGTTGTAAATACAGTGGCATTACAAGCATTTGTTTTTCTTTGGGAGCATCTCCAAGAAACTTCTCCACTTTTCATTTCTTTATCTTTGGCAAACGTAAAATTCTCCAAAAGGAGTACATCTTTCCCGCGTGTGCTTTTAATCAATGTAGCTGACATTATAGAAATAATTATTGTTTATAAACACTCGAATTACAATCATCAACGTATAAAAACTGACTGAAATATAAACAGTAAACACCCAAAGTAAGTACCTATTAGAATTATTAATAATCAGGTAGGTACCTATTTGTGGGCGGATGTAATTTGCGGGTTTAGGTACCTGAATGCTACTGTGGGCAAAATACCAGTAAGATTAACGCACCCCTTTACTTACACAGGTAGAAAACAGAGATTTGTGGGCAAAAAGGACCCGCCGAAAATTATGAGGTACATTTGATCTTACTAAATTCAGATTAATTACGTTTCTCCTTGTATCATAATCCGGACCTTGAGTGGGTTTACGGAAATATGTCAGCTGTGTTAAATTCGTGTTAATGTCTTGTTTTTGATAAGGACTATTATTGCCGTTAGTTGTGATAAATGTTGAGAAATTATTATTTTTTGAGAACTGTTATTCACCGTAAATATATTGGTTATTAAATGAATTTTTGTATTGGTTTCCTATTTCATCAGAATTTTGGAAGTAAAGGTTATGAATATTTATACGCGTTTTTCCATATGACGTATCCATTATAGCTTTGGGATACTATTTGATCTATTATTAAAATTAGTATTTTTTGCTTTATGTAACTCTGTATTCTATATAAAAAAAATGAAACACCTTTTATATTTCTACCCTATACATTTTTACCAGAATGCTTTTAAGAAGCCCATCACAGCTAATTTGTATCATAAATAAAAGAAAAGTAAATCACGTTTTTTCTCTCGCCCAAATTAGATTTTTATTTACCAGACCCCGTTCTAATGACAACATCTATTAACGTTTTTCGTATTTTTATTGGTTTTCCAGGCCTAAAACCATGTCGAGGAGACGAAAACGAAGCGAGACTGATGCGCCATCTCATGGCCGACTACGATGCGGCCGTCCGACCTGCCCAAAATTCCTCGTTACCGCTCAGCGTCATTTTCGGCATTTCTCTTCATCATATTATCGATGTGGTAAGTGAAATTTAAAATTTTTTATGAAATATCTAATTTATTGCTATTTTGTTTGACAACATTTTTAAATATTTTACACTTATAGTGAAACTAGAGCCAGTTAAAAAAATTGTTTCACGGGGAAAATTCTCGACACACTGCACCAATTTTTGTTTAAGTATGACTACCACAGATCACGTGCAATGTTAAAATTCGATACAGTGATATCGTTCTTTGAACTATTTGGAAGGAACTGGCGCCATCTCACGGTTACTTTAGTTAATACAAAACGCGGGAACATTCAAAATTGTAATTCACTATTTACACTTTAAAAGTGTTAGTCAAATTAAGATTTGTTCATACTAACTCCGATTTTACGTTATTGTAGCAATAAAATTATATTTCTTAAAATATAGCAAAAAATTAGTAGTATGAACCGATCCTAACTTGACTACAAGTTTAAATATTTATTAAAACACAAAAATTCAAAAGTATGATCAATAATATTAATTTATTGAAACAAAAATACAAATAAAATAATTAAATGTAGAGTGTTAATTAGCTGGAAAGTTAAGTTTCTTCATTTTCCACAACGGTTGAAGAGTTTTATCTGGAACAAAAAAAATAAATATTAATAAACTTATAAAGCAAATGAAGGTTGCAGGAAGACAAAAGCGACTAAGTCACATTTTTGTCAAAATTGAACTAATACCGCCTTATTTTGTAAAATACCAGTATGTTTCCATGTAAAAAGCCAAATTAGCAAACGCAATTAAAAATTATGTCCAAGGACTTAGCATCTTTTTCTAATATTTGTTTGGCCCTTTCAGTATTTCAATTTAAAATATTACAAGTGTTTATTTTAGTAATAAACTACAATATAATTAGGCAGCATATATACAAAGTAACATCTTATTTTATGTATAAAGTACAAAGTGACAGTGTATGATTAAAAATTATATCACACAACATTAATGTCAAACATACTATTATAGTTACAAGTTACAAGTTTGTATTCTTTACATATATAGACATATTATAGGACGCTGCTAAACCATCACGTCTTGTATAGAAGATGACACCAACATCGATCTTATGAATGACCTTTCCTCAAGTTTTTTTTAAGATTCTCTTTTTCTGTTAAAATAACTGTTTTGCACATATTTTTGCTCTTCTTGTCTCTTTTGGATTTGTCAATTTTATCTTCTTAGATTTTTTTTCTATTTTCGATGCAATACTCTGTTATAGGCTACGTTGCATAATGTTACAATACGTCTACCGAATTATAGTGTGTGGTTACATTTAATTTTGCTAATGAGGAAAATTTTATCAAGAGAGTCTCAAACATTGTTATATATCACCTCGACATCCGTTGTAGTTGTTTTCCAATACTTTGCTATTAACACTCAATAATTTCCCCTAATAATATTTCTTCTCCAATAAAATGTACCAGCAGAGTTAGGTACATTTTGTTTTGAAACAATTTCAACCTCTACCGGAAATTTAAACACCGGTCTCTCCCAAATTCCTCATTCCCAGTAAGAGCAAATTCTCTCCATATTATCGTATAGCTACGACGTTGGTAAGTGGAGTTAATAGCTTCGATTAAGGCCATAAAGTGTTTTCGATCGTTATAGGCAATAATTAGGATGGGATTTACTTACCTGATGTCACCTGCTGACCTGACAATCTAGATAACAATCATTTAGCCCGAGCGAACAACATAATAGAATGTCATTAAAGTTTCGTTCACATGATTTCAAATAACTGGATTAGGATTTACAAAAAGGGATTTATTGATAAAACAAAGGCAATTAGAAAAAAAATTGAAAGGTAAAGTAATATTTAACCGAAGTTTATTCTCGGAACAATAGTTAGTGAAGTAAGTTGTTAATATCCTTCTGTAATTTTATACAAACCCTTTTTCTTTAGTTCCCCACATCTTTTCCTTGCTCCGCTTTGGGACAGGTGAACGCATTTGTAAGATTTGGACAGTTCAATATCAAAGCAATTTCCAGTCAGACGTTTTGAATATTTGACAACGCTGGATCAGGGGACATGTCGGTATACGAGAAAGAGTATTATAAAATAAAATGAAAAAATAAATCACATTTTATATACTCGTACAATGCGATGAGATACGTCGATGAGGATTGGTGAATATAATTTTAAAATTATAAAGAAAATAGGTTTTTTAAGTATTTTAATGCTTTGATTCGCAAATAATATAGAGAGTTGAAGTGTTTTCAGTACGTTAACGTAAACGTCAACGCACAAAAATAATGTTTACGTTATAGTCCAAAATATGAGTTGAAGTTGTTAAACGCATCGTGACTTTTACGTGTCATGACAGATAATGACAATTATTATTAGGATTTTTTGCTCCTCAATTAAAAAGAGGTTATTTTATTTGCGTTACGTGCATACGCCAGAGCCCGCAAGCTTACATATGTACGTAGACGTAAACGTGAAGATTATTTGAAAGCGCATGCGTAGATGTCAATTTTCACGTATACATTTACGTTCATAGCATAACTTCAACTCTCTAATGTCGAGGCTCGCCTTAAAGGAAAAACTATTAACAGTAACAAAGGAGAATTTTAATATTTTTCTTGTCAAATGCAACCCCATCTCTAATATCTCATTCATAATATAATTCCAATAAAATAAAATATAATTAACAATATCTATCATTTTTATCTAAGCATTTTTATAATATATTAAATTATGCAATACAATATAAATGAACTAAACGAATTATCACACATCTTATTACTAATAAAAAATTATTTTTTACTAATTTTGTAAATTATACTGGGTGTTTCTATATTACTAAAATTGTTAAATAAAAAGATTTTGTGAATTTTTCTTGCCAAAGCCCATTCGAAATTAAATAATTTTCAAAATAATGTATGAGCTCGAAAAAATTTCTGAATTTGACTACTAGTGGTACAATTAATAAAAATATTGATGGTAAATTTTGAAAATTATTTATTTAATGTATTAATAATAATTGTAATCTTTTAACATCTATATCACTAAATAATGCTTTAATTAAGAACAAAAATTTTTATCTACAATATGTGAAAGAACAAGTTATATAAGAAGAATCGCTTATCATATGATAATATAAAACTAAACTGCTAATATTATATAAAACATAATACATTTTTTCTACACCCACATGGAAATTAGCTTATCTACGCACAGAATACAAAACGAAAAAGTATGCTATTGCCTTTAACTGAACGAATATATTTCATATCCATTGTAGGTAGTGAAAACACTGCAAAAAATTGATATCCACCAATCACCGTTCATATTTTGACCAACCAACTGCTATTATTTTAAAAATTTTAAATAAGTGATAATTCTGTCAAACTAATTGTCAGTATATTTTTTAGTTATTGAGGATAAAACGATACAAGTGATGTTTGATGTCTTAACGACATCTATCAGTTGGTAGAAAAAGTATGTTATGGAATACGTGTAGTTTTGTTCTAGGTAAAACGGTTAAAGTGCACTTAACTTATTTAAAAAAAAAGTTACTTGAACCCTTTTGCTTCTAACCCCTTTATTTTGTCTATAATTATAAATAATTTATTAATTTAAATAAAACTATATGAAGCCAATTTAATTACGAGTTAATACTTGTTTTAATAAACAACAAAAATAAAAGAATAGGTGGTCTGTGGTTAGCATTCTTCCCTTCCACGCGGAAGACTCGAGTTCGATTCTCGGATGGGGAAAAATTAAATGAACTCTTTTATTTTTTGTTTGTTATGTTTTAAAAATTATTAAAAGTATATTATAACCCAAAATATTTTTTTCTTTGTAAATTTTCGTTAGTGGGTCGTAGAAAAAATGTACAGTACAACTCGAGTGGATTGTACACATCGCACTCCGCCTACGGCGTCGTGCTTAAATGTCGTCTTTGTGCGATGTGGTCATCATATCCACTCTTGTTGCACAGAGTAGTACTACTTTCATTCGAGTTTGATATTAATAAAGGCAGTATTTTCAAAATAGTAATTTTTTTTTAATTATTCTATAGTTAAATACATTTTTTGTAAGATTATATTATTCAATAACTCTCTTTAGGCTATAGAAGAATCAAAATTTAAATGAAGTAAAAATAATTTAAAAAAATTTAATTTACTTCATATATTCATAATTTTTCATGGTTTTACTTGCTATTCCATATTTTTCTATATTGTTTTTTTCATGTTGTTTCCATGCTTTACCATGTTTTTCCATGCCTATTTCGTATTTTTCATTATTTTCCATGGTTTTTCATGTTTTTTTTTTACGTTTTTTCATGTTTTTTAATGTTTATTTCTTCATGATTTTTCAAGGTTTTATGTTTTCCTTGTTTCTGCATGTTTATCCATGTTTTCTATCTCCTCCCATGCTTTTATATGTTAACCATCTTTTTCTGCGTTATTCCATATTTTCCTGTTTTTTTGTTTTTTCCATGTTTTCCCATAAATATCCAAGTTTTCTTCAAGCTCTTTCAGTTTCATTTCATTTTTTACGTGTTTTTCTATGTGTTTTTATGTTTTTCCATGTTTTTCCATGTTTTTACATGTTTTTACATGTTTTTACATGTTTTTACATGTTTTTACATGTTTTTCCATGTTTTTACATGTTTTTCTATGTTTTCCCATGTTTTTTTCCATGTTTCCCATAAATTTCCATGTTTTTCAAGCCCTTTCAGTTTTTTTTTTCGTTTTTTTGCGTGTTTTTCTGTGTTTTTATGTTTTTCCATGTTTCCACATGTTTTTCCATGTTTTTCCATGTTTTCAATGTTTTTCCAGGTTTTTTCATGTTTTCCCATGTTTCCTTATGTTTTTCCATGTTTTCACATGTTTTCCTATGTTTTTCCATGTTTATTTCGTGTTTTTCAGCTTTTCCTTGACCTTTTCAAGTTTTTTTTTGTTTTTTTCATGTTTTTTCATGTTTATCATGTCTTTTCCTGTTCATTTTTTCATGATTTTTTAGGGTTTTGTTTTTCATGTTTA